ACTGTCCTGCTACAGTGCTGTATATGGTTAGAATTCCAAACTTCCTTGTAAAAATATGTAATTGTTTATTCCTATTTTTAAAATATTTTTTTCTGTTTTTATTTTTTCTTCACATTCTCTAGGGATTTAATGTACAGCATATCAATACTTGCTGGAAAATACCAGTATCATGTTATGTCTAAGATGTTTGACAATCAGACAGATAGTGAGGTTCAGCTCAACTGCTCATGTTACAGGGCAATAATATCATTAAGCTTCTCTTCTGGAGGATTAACAACTACAGTTTGCAGACCAAACATGAGAGAAAAAGAAGGGCTGAAAGGAAAGTCAACATTTTGGCCCTAGTCTTTCAAGGTCAGTGAGGACCTAAGACATAGGAGAACCTGTACTGTAACATCCTATAACTCAGTTGTGTCCCAAGTGAACTGATCAAGAATACTATAGGGTCATAGAGGAAAGTGATCAATGATATAGAATGTGTCTAAGGAGAGTCACATGGAGATACAACATTCTCTCAGGCTTTCACAGAGAGCAAATTGGTCAAGTAATGGCCGTGACACATTCACATGGCTGACACTGACAAAGGATCTGTACACTGTGGTATCAGGTTTCAGGGTAAATCTGAGGAGATTTTACTGATCTTCTCAGATAAAAGGTTACATTTGTTGTTATATAGGTCTTACTTTATCTTGGTCTTAACCATCCAGCAGAAAAGTATGAAAATGAGGTATAAAAAGTACAGCCATATTAATATGCTCAACTGTAAAAGACTCAAGTCAATAACTTCTGACATTGGCAGTACTATGCATGATCCACTACTATTATGGACTAAGAGTATATTCATTATTTTTCTGAATTCATGCAACTACAATATTAATTTTATTTTATTTTATTTTTTGCAACTACAATATTTAAATGGCAATGGAATACCCATCTCTTACAAAACAAACAAGAGAAGAGGCTACAAATGAAGGACTATTTTGTATTTGTAAATACAAAATAGTTAGGATATATATTGCTCCATTCTCTTAATTCAATGAGAAGAAAGAATTGTACTAAAGAGTTTTTGGAGATAATATCTGCATCTTCTACTATGAATAGCCACTACAAAGACAATATGCAATGTAGTAATGATTGAAGCTGTCATTTATTCAGTTTTGAAACTGTCTCATTGCTATTTGTTTCTCAATAAAATTAATAAAAAATAAATGAAATAAAAATAAATAAATAAGCAAATAGATAAATATATGCAAGAGTCTTTTTTTCTGGAAATAGCAAAACTTACCTAAAAGGTTATTAAACATAGTGAAAATAATTCAGAATTAGTTGATACAAATTTGGAAGAAACGTTACTACTAAACATAGCATATAAAAACATTTAAATTTCACATTTTCACAGAATAAATGAGAATAAAAAAGAAACAACCTGTGGTTAATCCTCCATTTATATTTATAAATATGGCAATACATATATGCCTTGTATCTGATAGTTGTATTGAAAATCAATATAAATATTAAATTGTTTTGTCAATGGTGATTGAGATCTATTCTAAAAAATTGCTTACTATAATCATTCATGCAAAATTAAAACAAACATCTCAGAATAGTTGTTAAAGCATAACAAATATATTAAAATAAGTACAAAGTCTAGAGACCCACACTCGTAAACACAGCACCGGAGGATGTTGATGCAGAAAACTCGTAAGTTTTAGACCCACTTTGGCAACATAAAAACTTAGTCGCTTCCTCAATGTTATAAGCCTAAGCAAATTATTAAAGAGCTAAAAATGAAGCTCAGAGTAAAGCCCCTGGGCTCTAAACTCAGCACCACACAAATACAAGAATTTACATGCATGTCTGTGCAAATACATACACTTACATGACCATTTTCTCTCTACCTACATGTTCATTTCCACTTTTCTTATATTATGTGCAAAAAATGCTTAATTCAAGCAAAAAATTCCTGAAATATTTAAATATGTATGATCTAATATTTGTTTTCTTAAATATTTAACACATTTCTGAAGTGCTAAAAATTTATATGATGGAAAAATTGGTAAATAACAAAGTGTAGACTAAAACATGGTTAAGATTACATGGAAATATGTAATTGGGGGTCAGGGAGATAGCTCGATGGTCTAAGCCCCTGCCTGGGAAGCAGAAGAACATAAGTTTGATCCCTGGTACCACATGCTATTCCAGCTCCGTGCCCAGCTGGCCACCAAAATCAGGTGTAGTGGTGCATGCTTATAATCCTAGTGATGGGGGAGGCCAACACAGGAGAATCACTACTAGTCTGAGCTGAATAGTGAAATGGTGTACCAAATAAATGAATAAATAAATAGAAGATTTTAAAAAGAAAATATGTAATCAATCTCCTAATAAAATTTAAATATATAAATGAAAATCTACTTACACACATCAAGTTGTGCCACCTTTGGTATAACCATAAAGAAAATATACTGCTTTACATAGCTTCTGGGAGTATGTATTATGTTTTACAAGGTTTTTTTTTTAAATGAAATCAACAAAATAATTTTAAATTAAAGATAGTTTAGCATAGAGCCCCTGTCCTTGTAAGAATGTAGATCTACTGCAACAATCTATCTTTCTCAAAGATCTGTCTATTATTATCCTCATGAAATTAGAAACCAATTTGAAAATGAGGAACATTGAAATTTGGTGAAAGTCGATAGAGTTCACTTTGTAAGATACCCTATTATATAGGCCTAAGAATTACATGAAGGTACTCATAAAAATATAAATCTTCATTTCTTATATAAAATAAGTTAATGGATAGAGAAATCATCCTCATGCTATTTTTTTTTTTAAATTTTATTGATAAACAGCAATGAGACAGTTTCAAATCAAATCAGAAGTACAGTTTCAACAAATAACACACTGCATATATTCTTCTTAGTGGTTAATTGCTGTACAAGATGCGGACTTGAAATCCTATTTACCTCATGCTATTAATATATATTCTATTTAGATATCATAATCTGTAAGATACATAATGTAATATAATCTTCAGAATATTATGAAAACTAATTTATACATACTGTGGCTATGGCATACATACCCACATGGGTCATGTGCTCCTTTATAATATTACAATTCTAATTGCAAATATAATCCTCTAAAGAAAACATATGTTATATCTCTGCATATTATTATTTTGCAGTGTTCTCTTCATTTTCATTTAGATTTTAGGAAATTTTGGAGCATTGCCATGGACACTTGAGGATTTTTACTCAATGCCTAAGGAGCCCTGCACATTGAAAGCACCTGGGGTTGAAAGGAAGGTATTTTTAGCCACCAACTGTACACAGCACATGGTCAGGAAAAGACTAACAGCTGCCATGAGCAGGTAAACATGGACAGAAAAAGGAAAGGGAGAGGGGTCCTCTCTTCTCTCCTCAGGAAGAGAAACACACTTTCTCCAGAACTCTTGAAACATCCTGGAAATCTGATCACACTTAGTATCTGACCAGGTTTTCATGCCTTGCTGTCCGGAGTGTGTCAATTCCCACCTGAATTATTTCCTCTAAAATCCTCTCAGTTTGGCTCTGCCCAGTGCTCATGACACCTATGTTGTCTCTTGGTAGTTCTTCATCCTGGCCTCCTTGTTGCTCTGGCTGTAAACCCCCATCAGCACATGTAGACTTCAGGATCTACCTCAAGATTTCTGCCCTTCACACCACTATTAACATACTGATGATTATTCTGTGATTGCACAAAACTTTCTCATTTTTTTCAGGAAGTTCCATCAGTAATTCTTACTTTAAGAGTCTGCAGGAAATTCATACTGGGTTTCTCCATCTCCTTCATCAAATATTTTTTCAGACTTGCTACTAGCTACCAGAAACAATAAGCAGTAACCATCAGAATAAAAATATATACCTTAAAGAAAATGACCACCAATATCAAACATATTTTGAAAAATTAATTTGGAAACGGCTCAGTGTAATGACACATGATGTTAATTACAGATAGTTGGGCCTGAAGCCTGATTTCTTCAGTGCAAAAGCTTTAGCCAACATTAGCATCATAACAAAGCTTTGTCTCAGAAATAAACCAACATCTTAAAATTATCTAAGAACAAAAATTTGAGTGAATATCTTATATTTGATAATGCACAAGGGATAGGTACAAATACGTTGGATCAGAAGATGCCCTAATTATGAATGCTGTCTTTTCTATTTCTGGGCATGAACAGCTAGTAAAGAGAGCACTGTGGCTCTACCACCCGGCAAAAGACAAAGCACAAAGAGTCTCCTACAATCTCTGATTTTATGATTCCATCCAAATTGTATTTATTCATGATAATGTTAGCCATAGGAGAGATGCTGAGATGTCTGAAAACTAAGAAAATGTAGGTGAAGAAGGATGAAACCAGAAGAAGGAATTTCACAGAAACTGCCCCACTAGTCCTGGCCTGGGTTGCAGATGCAGCAGAGAGAATCACTCCGGTGAAAACCTTGACATTCACAGTATTTTCAAATGTTAGTAAATATCTACAGTGAGAAACCAGTGGGCAATTCCCAAAGAAGAGGAGCATAACTAACTGTGTATATATGAGATATTTTGTGTAAGGTGAAGGAAACATTACAGATGCGGATCTTTAGGAAAGAAATATTTACTGCTGTCTTATAACACTGAGATCAACCTGGCACTTGGATTGATTCTATATTTGAGACCCATTCATGTCTTGAAGTGTCAAGTAAGATATAATAAAGTTTATATGAAATACAGTAGGGTGCAAAGATGCTCTCTCCCTCATAACCTCATCTTTAAAAAGAAAGCATAAGATATAAAAAATTCCTCAGTTCAAAACTGAATGATGGAACAAAATGAAAAATAAGTTATAAACAATTCTGAGTGTGTACAGAAAGGACAGGATAAGAATACAGAGAATATAGATCTCTCCATTCATAAACTCCAGGCATTATTGATTCTGATTATCAAGCAAAAAAAAATAAATGCAAAAGGACACTTACTCTATGATGAGAAAGTCCCTGGTGGGTTTTATTTGGGACATTCCCGTGAAGTACAGACAGGTGTACAGGGAGAAGAATCCGCCGATCACCACGTCTCCATCCTTGTACACTCTGGTGCTCAGGCTTTGAAGACTGTCATCATCAGACAAGTTGTACACTGTGGGAGGCAGCTGCGAGAAGAGTAAGATCACGCTGAAAAAGGGCATCTTTGTGGAGTACATACAGATGCTTAAATCAAAGGAAAGATGAGTCTGCAATATTACTTGGTGACCATGTATCTTGTGTGTGTACTTCTGTTGGTAGGGTAGTTTCCATATATGTAGGAATGGAAGGGCATGCAGTTTTTCATTTCAACAAAGATGGATGCTTTAAAAATCTTAAATCATTTCATTGAAGCCTCATGTCCTTAGAGGAATTGTCCACCAGTTTCCCTGAAGCTCTGCATCTGAGATCTGGTGTCTCTGTAAAAAACATATATTAGGAAATATTTATGATCACTTCTACACCTGCAGGCACCATTGTTTCACTCTAAACACTTACACCAAGTTCCCAGGAGCCTTCTCCTTGATGTATATTTTGTCCCAGGCCTTCACCTACAGGCTATTTACATGGACAGCATTTGGGATGATGCAAATGGATTGAACCAGAGGATTCAGTCTTAGATGTTTCTGAAATGACCTGAGGAGACCCAAACTTGCTATTGAAGATTTGGCATTACACTCAGCCACCAAATGATAACAAGATCCAGCCACATACACTCAGGAATCAGTGTGGTGGAGAACTTTCCCTGCATTGCCCAGGCTTTCTGAGTCATGAGTGGAAAATAAACAACACAACTCCCAATTGCATACATATTCCATTCTCTGAAGACCAGTAGTTACTTTTGTATTCCTTAATTAAAAATTATTCAATATTGATAATGTAATATGTTGCATTTCTGAAAGAAAACTAAACTTCTACTTTCCCCATTCTATATAGTGCTATCCAACATGTTAAATCCATGGATTCATGTATCATAATCTGTTCATAAAGTAATAATTTGGGCGCCCACATTGTTAATAACTTTATGACAGCATGGGAACTGGTTCCTTCTAAAGCAAAGACTCAGAATTGGAAAGTACTGCTCCACCTTTCACCACCAAAAGTATTGGATATGAGAGTCACACATGTAGACCGTTACACCACCAGAGTTCCAGTGAATTTCTAAAGCAATGGAAAAATTATTCACGGTTCTGTAATGGTTGGGTAGATAGCATTCTGCATTTTTGAAGTTTTAATAAATATCCATCATGAGTTGTGAACACTAATGTAAACTTGGACTTTGCTTTATTGTTGGGCTATCACTCACTTATGAATAATGGTATGCAATAATATTTGCAATGGCAAAGCAAAAAGAGGATATACTTTCACAATAATTAAAAAGTAACTACTTCCTGCCTTGTGGCTGTGCATCTGTTATCTTATGTCCATATGAAAAATAGGTTAGCAAACATGATGATGCCGGATGTGGTGGAGAATGCCTGTAATCCAGAACACATGAGGCTGTGGCAGGAGGATTCTGGGAGTTCAACGACAGCCTGGACTACAAAGTGAGTTCAAGTTCAGCCTGAGCTGCATAGTGAATCTCTGGTCCGAAAGATAACATGAGTGAAAGAAAGAAAGAAAGAGAACAAAGAAAGAAAGAAAAAAGAGTTTATTCGCCTCTTAATCTTTATGGAGCATGATTTCTTTAACATCTAATTAATGTAAGGCCTGGATAGATTGGATGCCAAGCTTCTATTACAATGTATTTGCATGAATACTATTCAGATTGATGCCAAAAATTTATAGTAGAATATTCAAAGATCAAACTGAACTTTTAGAACAAATTTTTACTGGAAAGATAGCTCAGTGGAATAAGTGTTTTCCTGACAAGTGCAAGGGCCTGAGTTCAATTCTTGGTTACACCAAAAAAAAAAAAATTAGAACATTTCTATAAAAGACGAACAATCTAAATTCAAATATCTCTATTGGCTTGGCAGAAAGACAAGTGGTCGTTGCTGGAGCAGAAGTCAGCTACTAACCGATGCTACTGTGGTCAAATGCTAATAGAGAAATTTCTCTTGCATAACATGTGGACCTTAGTAGAAATCATGGAATGAAACACTTCCTAGAATCAGTAATGGGAGCCCACTGTAGTGGAAACTATGGGAGACAATGAATGCAATCCCAAGAACAAAGTTTATAGTTGAGAATCCTCAGATCACAGAAAGCTAAGATGCACCCCCAGGTTCTAAAAAACAGGAACAATCTAAATCCAATGCTAATATACAAAAATAAATTATTAAAACCTGAACAGAAACTACTTAGATTGAGAGTAAGATACAATGAAAAAAGATCAGTGGATCAAAGAGCTGGCTATTGAAAGAATAAACAACAGAAAAGTCTTTAGTCAATTTTGCAAAAAAAAAAAAAAAAAAAAAGGAAAAGAAAAGCCGCACATATATGCGATTAATATGCAAAAGAAAAAATGACAAAAGATAGCATTGCACTGCAGAATACAAATTATAATTTGTTTAAAAACTCTAACTCCAAAATTTAGAGGTTTTAGAAGAAATGATAGATTACTAGAATTACCAAAATTGAAATAGAAGACAGAAACACGCTGAGCAATTTAATAAGACATTGACTAAGAGACAGTAATGACAAAATACTAAGAAAGGCCCATGTGTAAATGAGTTTACTGTGTAATTCTATAACAACATCAGGCATAACCTAACTCCAATTTGCTTTGATATCTTCAATAAGATTTAAGGGGAAGGAAGACTGCCAAAGTCGTTCCTGAGACATAGAATACCAAAAACAGAAAAGCACTCAACTGAGAAAGAAAACCACTGACCAATTTCTTTAGTGAGCATAGAAAATCACCAACATGTTGCTGCTACACAAAGTGCAGTAAGCCTTGTGGAAGTGAGTATGTGTTTATTTGACCACAGTAGCATCAGTTAGTACCTGATTTCTACTTCAGTATGAGCCACTTCTGTCTGCCAAGCCACAGCCCTTATCCACCTTTCTGTACCAATGCAGGCTCTTAGCTTCAAACAGGTTTTGATACCTTCTTCACCCCCACTCCCCAATGCTGGTGTACATTTTCCCACCATCTGTGCTACAGTCCAGGATAACTTCTGTCACCAGTGCTAAACCTGGCAGGTCACACGTACACTTTCAAGGCTCACAGGGCTCCAAACTTCCTGATCCTTGAGGTAAAGTAGGATCACACACAGCTGAGAGTGGAAAGTGCTAGTATTTGGTCCAGTGAGGCTGAATGTTTCATCAAGTCAATTTCTGGTCCATCAGATGCTCACCCCTTTTTGATTAAGAGAAGCCTGGTCATCTTTTTTGAAGATTCTTGCTTCTGTTTCCTCAGCCACGGGAGTGTTAATTCAGGACAATGTTTTCTATACCATTAATCTGTGATGTTTCTTCTTTAATATCCCCAAATAGTTATACCATTTTTGGTAGTTAATTAATGTGTTTGATTAATTTTGAGTGCATTTATCTTCCAGGTGAGAGACAGGGAGTTAAATTGAAATATGATACTACTATACCTAACTTTTGAGGATTCTCAGCATAAATAGTTTATAGTTGTCAAGTGTTTCTTCTACATCTCTGGAGATGATGATGTGATTTATATCCTTTATTCTGTTTTGATAATGCATTCACTGAGTATGCTATGTTGAACTATTCTTGCATCTATGAAGTGAAACTGATTTGAGCATGGTGCATGGACTATTCAACATGTAGTTAATATTGTTTTTTAAAAAATTCATTTACTACAATACCTACATGGTCTCCATATGTAGGTTGGATTCATAGTGATCCTCTTGTATTTATTCTCCCTAGCGCTGGGATTACATACATGCACCACACCGCCCAGTTTCACTCACTGGCTCATAGTGCCCTGGGGCGGAGCCAGCATGGCATGGTGAGGATCAATCCTTGGTCCCTGAGACCGACTAAGCTGGCACTTTAGTCTGCTGAACTATTTGGATGGTCCAGAAATACATTCCTGTTGTTGTTTTTATATATTTTACACAAGTAACGAATCAATGCTTGAAATTTTGATGATTTCATATAAATATATAACAAATATTAAAATGTAATACTTTGTTTTTCTGATATTTTCAGAAATATCAGAAGCACTTACAGTTTCATATGACAAAATCTCCAAGATTTATTACTAACCAGTAGAACTAATCTAGAGAATAAACATGAGTTGCCTGTATTCGATCCTCTTCGCTTAAAGTGGAGCAAAGACATTTTGTCCACAAAGTCTCATATCCATAGATATTTCTCTAATGAGAGTGAATTTACTCAAAAACATTTTCAGGGACCTTGAAAGGTAAAATTGATCAAGCAAATATCAAACTATCAGAATAAACTATAGTAGCCATATGTAAGTCATAATATCTAAAATGGAAAAATGTAATGAAACACAACAGGGACTTTGAAATGCGGTGGTGGGAAGACAACATTATCATATTAAACATGAGCACAAATGATTCAGAAGTTCAAGTGGTGCATGTGATAAGGGAGAAATGGCCCAGTGAGACAGCTCAGTGGACTAAGTGCCTACTGAGGCAAGTGCAGGAACCAGGGTTCAATCCCTGCCACTGCGTGCCACACAAGCCTGCCCCCAGGCCCTCTGAGCCCAATATCAAGTCTCAGCATGGTGGGGCCCACCTGTCTTCCCAGCGCTGGGCAGGGTGCAGATAGGAGGATCACTACGACTCCTACCAGCATAGTGAAAACCTACACAAAATACATTAAAAATACTAAATAAATAAAATAAAGGCAAAACTAAACCAAACCTCAGGTTATATATGAGGATTTAGTGTAGATATTCTGCCAGGAATAACTTCTTTCTTTTTTTTATGAGCAGAATATATTTATTGAGAAAAAGAATGCTCCTGTCCAAGAGAGGGACAGGAGGGAGGCCCACCAGGTAGTTCCCCCTGAAAAACTTCTTTTTCAAAATAAGATTCAAAGGGAGATGGAGATTTTTTCCTACAACCAGCAACTTTGTGCCTAGAGAAAAAAAATGGATCCACTGATAATTGAGGCAAATCTCATGCTGTAACGAAATAAGTAACTGAAAATAATAGTGCATGTTCAACACTGAGCTATTATGGATTTTAGAAAAAAAACACATATTTTTTTATTTTTC